GCCAAGAATCACAGACACTCGGAGTAAAGACGTCCGGCCATACTGTGCAGAAGGCCCGAGAGTATCTCCCAGAAGCGTCGCCTCCATTCTTACAGGCATCGCTGGATGTGTCACAGGGCCCTTGAAATCTCAACGGGGGCCCCCGAATTACCCGTCTTTAGGAACCTGCCCGCGTCTCGTCCAGCTCTTGGGAGAAACCGGGAGGCACGACTGTCACTTGCCCACTGTCCCTGCGTACGAAAAACATTTGTTTCTTACCAAAGCTGGGTTTTTTGGGGGCTTGCGTGGGTTTCTTGACACTGTCTAAAGAGAAAGAGACATTTCAGTCAGTACAACTTGCATCTGGGACACAGACTCAACTCTCAATGACGCTCCCGTTTTTTGGTTTCGGGTCCCACCCCTGGTCGCGGTGCGTGCGGGAAGCTTCTGATGGATATTTCTCTGTCACATCAATGTTTCTCTCTCTCTCCCCTCTCCCTTTCTCTCTCTCTAAAATCAATAAAAACATTAAAAAAAAAAAAAAGAATAAATACAGACACAGAGGGAAGTCATCATGTGCAGACGGAGGCCAAGATCAGATGGGGCTCCCGCTCTGTCCCCCCTCAGTGTCCCCACCTGGACACCCCCTCCCCAAGCTCCTGCCAGTTTCCCCCGGGCATCTGTGACCACCACCGGGTGTGAAAATTACACCACCGGGGGACGTTTACTCGCCCCGCCGAAGGCATCTTGATTTCCCCCGCCTTACGTGAGTCTCATTAGGACGGCACAACACGTCTAAATATATTTACGACATCCCAGTAAAATATTCACGGTATTTTTATTTTTTTATAAATGCTGTTAACATGACTCACCATCCAAGGCATCCTGTAAGCTGAAATCATCACCTAAGAGAAAAAAGAGTCCAGTTAGAAATGAAGAAACTCAGAGTCAACTAGAAAATTATTAGAAAACTTTTTTTTTTAAAGGCGGCCGGGCTGGGTGTTTTGCAGCTCTTGGAAATGTGCGAATGCGTTGTGATTTCTTGTTCTAAACATTCGCTTTAATGCCTAAAAGAAACACATTAGCCTGTATTGGGTGAATCTGGCAGAATTTAAGAGAGCGGGAAACGGTCATTTGGCAGGTGCATTAATCTCAAAAGGCCGGTCCTTCGAAATACATGGGAAACAATTTCCAATCCACGTTTTCGTGGCTGAAGACACAGAAAGAAAAAATCCTGCCTTTTTTTAGCCACTGATCTGTAATCTCACAACCCACACATGCTCCCGGTAGAAACAGACACCCCAGAAAAATACCAGAACGGTCGTCCGTTTGAAAACAGGCGTCGACAGAAAAAAATATATATATCTATATATATTCATTTCTGTAGGTTCTTTTAAACGTTGCACATGAACCATGGGTTCAACACTGACTTTATGACCGTTCAAAGTGCCTGTACATTTGGGGGGGGGGATGTTCCGTATTTCTATGTGTCCATTTCTGATGGCTTGAAGAAAAGGAAATTTAGGAAGGTTTGGGAAAGTCTGCTTGGACCGTTGGGCCAGCTGCAAGGCAAATAAAAGCGGCTGAGGGGCCCGGAAAAAGGGAAATTGCTCTGACATGCCAACGATACGTGATCGTAGATGCAGAAAGACAACAGACAGGCTCAGTTCCGGTAAAGATGGACCTTTGTCAGCGGAGATACCAGCCTAGGACCTGACGACCCTCCATAAACTGCTTTTAGTTAGAAAGTTTTCATTTCAGACCATCCCGTGGGGCAACTTTAGGCCTCTGAGTTTGCAAGGCCGCCCGCAGGCCTCCCCTGAGCCTGTCGGGTTAGCGTGGGGCCCCTTTGGGTCCACACGTCCATGCCTTCCCCTGACCCCCGGTGTCCTTTAAACCCAGTAAGAGCAGATCCAATTTTGGGGGGCCCTGGCCATCCCACCACCCCAGCTGCTTCTGCCTCCTCTAGAGTCTTTGTCTCAGGACCATGGTGACTATCACCATTCAGTCCCCCACCCACCCACAGCCCAGTGCTCCCCATACCCCGAGGTGGGCCCAGGCACCCCAGGGCAGCTGTGAGTGTAAACAGGAAAACGAAGAGAGTCGCCCTGGGAGGATTTCCCTTCTCCTCCAGGCTGGCCCCACCCAAGACCACACAGGCGTCCCCCCAGATCACGGGGCAATGGGCAGGGGGCCAAGGCAGCCAAGAGCTGGGGCCGGGGGGCCGAGGGACGCGGAGATGGAGCCTGGGGGCCGGAAAATATTCGATTCATAGGCGTCTCGGTAAACTTGGGAGCAATCCATCTGCCCATCAGCGGAAGCCTGGTTTCCAGCCGGCCCCTCAAAGCTCCAGATGTTATGCATAGAGGGGGTGAGTCACGGCTGGGCGAGGCCGCTGACCCTCCTGCCTGGTGACTGGCATGACTCACCCTGAGCGCTTTCTCCCTTCTGACTGATTTCTGATTCCAGCAATCTTTGCATTTTTACCGGGGCCTGTCATCCTGAGACTCAGACGGGGGAACCCAGTGAATCTCCAAGACCCTGGGTTTTGCGGGTGCTTGAGGGGGTTGGGCCGGGGGTGTGCCCTCACCTGTGACAGACCCCCCCCAAACCACCACAGATGCACCGTGGGAAACTAGGGTCAGGTTCTCTGCAATTCTGTCAGGAGGGTTTGCTCGTGTAGGAATGGAGCGAGCATAGAAATACTCGTGACAATAACTCGTAAAAATTATATAATTTATGTACAGAATCTGTATAAATAAAAAAGTACAAGGTGTCCCCCCACCACCAAAAAAATAT